CAAACGATACGATAATAATTACATTATGCTTAGCGTCACATTTCACATTTTATTTATTAAGTATCTCTCCCTGCTTCGCTTCGCTTCGCTCGTTTATTTATATCGATCCATCTATTTTTTGATGTTTATATTTATATTAACACGTTATACTATATTGTATCAATTATACGTCAATACACCCGTAACATCCATTCTGATATATTGCGACAAAATGACATTGTCAAAGTCATTTCTTTCTTGACAGAATGACTTGTATTTTGTAATTCGGATTACACGACGTGATCGTATGTAACGATCGAATGTGCAACAAACGTTGAATGTATAATTGCTATTACCGTGTTATATTGTGCCCTGGTTCAAACAGATTTGAACAACGACTACGTTCCTTCCGTGGTGATGAACGGGCATAGAAAAACTTCTTGGCACCGTTCCAAACTGTGTTCCAACTTTATCAACCGAAGATAAATTATGAAAAAATCATCATACCTTTTTCTCGCGATCAAACGCATCTATTCTAACATTTTATTAAATATCGATAATAATATTTTAAAAATCCGATAACGTGTCACTGTGACTCTTATCTATGTTTTTTTTTTTTTTTTTTTTTTAAATTAAAGAATAAAATCATGATATTTTCACACATTATTTCACACGATAAATTGCTTTTAGTTTTTCATAGAACTAGCTAGAGAAATAGCTAGTTAAAATAAAAAAATTTTTTCAAAATTATACTGTTATGCATAATACTGTAATACTGTTCATATTACTAGCTCATATTTTTGTGTTGATGCGATCATTCAATGAAACCAATGAACGATGCACAAAAATCGTGATTACATCGAATGATATATTTTTTATACTTGATTATTTATTATACACGCTATGTGCAAAAAATTTATTGGGTAGATTAGAGGATAATATTTGATTATATAATATTCTGTTAGTTTAACTCTCTATGATTCTTTCATATATTGAGCAGTTTTTTCTATATTTTTATGAATTTAAATTATATTTACTATTATTTTCAAGGAATAAAAATTTCTTACAAATTTATAATCGCAACAGTTATATTATTAAAACTCGTTAAAAACATGATAACATAAATAAACTTTGTTTCATCGTATTCTTGTTTGCAAATTTTTTTATTTTAATCTTGAAAGATGTATGAAATTTGATAATATGCATATCTTCTAATCGACCTAATAATATCCATTAACTCATGATGATCAATCGATCTTTCTTTACCTTTCATTCATTATAATTTCAAATAGGAAAGGTACAAAAAAAAAACAAAAATTGAAGAAATAAATAAAAATAAAATAAAAAATATTTGTTTAGAATTCATCTCACTTACCCAATACGTCCGAATTGACTAAAACGCTGCAGCTATACATAGGCGTAACTAGTCGAGGATGTCTTGAATTGAAAGCACGACGGCAAGCTTCTTTGCATGTCGACATCAAATGACCACCATCCACATGTCCTTGATTTTGATGTCCGTTATTTTCACTAATAACACATATTATTTTTTTTTTTTCAATATTCGATTCTATCATCGAATTAAACAAAAAGTAATAATACGAAGAAAATAGATGAATATGAAGAAACATTAATCTACTATATAAAAAAAAAAAAAAAAAAGGTAATTTATACCTTTGAGAATCTTGATAAATTTCCCATTTCTTCACAACAAAACAGACACCCATCATAGGTTCTTCGCATAGAGGCCCAGCAAGCGTTGCCAATTGAAAACCGTTCACCATACCACTTTCGTAACTATACATCATAGATAATAAGTTTAAGTATCAATTTAAACGGGTCAAAATATTTGACTATGATAAAATACTTTAAACTTAATTAATTTCACTTAATTATTTTATATAAGAGGGAGAGGAAATATGTGAAGTCAAAAATGAATATTTTTTATTTGTTATAATTATATTAATAATAATAATAATAATAATAATAATAATATTAGTTTTCTTCTTTTAATTTTTCTATATTGATGAATACTTACGGAGCACGTGGATCCGTAGACTTTGAATGACCTTCCCAAAATTTTCTCTGTTTATAATCGGTTTCGTTTAACAAGATGTTAAGACCACAATTTCGTGGCCCGAACGACCATATTTTATCCAACACATCTTTTTGTCCCGCTTCCCGAAACGCAGTCGCCAATTCAGTTTTAAACGTTTCTAATGCCCGTTGTTTCTTTTCCGACATCGAACACAATGATTCCATTTTGAGGTCCAACGCAATTTTTCCACTTTCTTCCTCTTTGTCTGAACGTGATTTATCATAATGATAGAACAACTTTATTAAATCCACGTTTTTTTCCAAAATCTTAGTTACCTTTTCCGGTAAAGGTTTCGCGTCGATTTCAAAGTAACACTGTCGATTCGCTGTCCAAGTAGCAAAACTAACATCTTCGGATTTTTTTTCGATAGCTTCGTTTACCATATCAACTTTCGGCGGTGGTACGACCGTTTCTCTAAATGGTACTATAGGTTCCGATACGTTTACATCGACTTTCGCATATCGTAATTTCAAATCTTCCAAACACCTTTCCAAATGCACTTCTCCAGCAGTGTTCAATACTATTTCCCCACTCTCTTGAATGTGAACAATGGCACAGGCATCTGCCTGATTAAGCAATTTCAAGCCGTTGATCAATGGTTGCAAATCATTCGGATGTTTTGGTTCGAGCGCAACACGCATTATAGGTACACCGAGTGAAGTTAGTTCCGAAAAGGATGGACAAGCAATGGTGGTGGAAAGGGTCGCTGTCTTTAATACGTGATCCTCCAGATCACCAATTCCGAATACGTTGCCAGAAAATATTTTGTCGGCAGGTTCTAATTCTCTGCCCATCAAAAGGTACAATTTTCGTATAGTAACTTTAGTCACGTGTTTCCCAGGTTTTAAATCTTTTAACGTGATATCCTCGTCTATCACAGACTCACCCGCTTTTTGTCGTTTCAATATTTCACGTGGATCATGTTTTGGACCTAAAACGTATACACTGCACCCCTCTCTTAAACATCCAGAATAAATCCGAGCGAACGCTATTAACGTAGTTTCGGAATTTTCATCTTCCTCGTCGATTTCTTTCGAAATCATATTTTCTGATCGCGAAGATTGACCGCCGTTCAAATTGCTGGTATTAACATCTTGCTCTGTATTTTCAGTTGCCATTTGTTGTTCTTTCATCATTTTTTCCGCGTGTTTTGTTCGTGCTATCTCTCTTCGTTGAGCCAATTCTTCCGAGGTTAAAGGTTTCGGTTTATTTTCTGGCAATACTTTTTTCTCTACTGGAAACATTTTCGATATAAATACAACGATAGGTGAATCAGGAGAAGGATCGCAAGCTAAAAACGTCTCTTTTAATTGTCTCGTTTCTTCTGGTAATGTAGAGAAATCAAAATTTCCGCTTAGTAAACGTTCTACCTTCTCCGAAGTTAAATTATGCGGCGCTGGAACTTTTTCACATATGACGTCGAGGCAGGCACGAGCCAAAGGTAACCATTGGGAACAAACCGCTTGTAATTGAGCCCTACAATCTGTATGCCTTAAATCTCTTGTTGTCAATTTAATATCCATCTTTTTAGCCATTGAAGCTACTTTTTCTTTATCCTTACGAACGGTTATTGTTTCATATAAAGACCAAAGATTATCCAAAATAAGTTGAACAAATAGAGGTTTTTTTGCTTTCTCTTGAGCTCCTTTCATTATTCTCTTTGTTTTAGTATTTACATAATAATCTCCCCAAAGTGTTTTCAACAGAACCTTTTCACTAAAGCCTAATTTGGCTGAAAATATATTGGCAAATTCTTTGATGCCAAATCCCCAGCCATC